GCCCCCCACCGCCCAGCACTGTCTGGCCCCCCCTCCTGCCATGGTCTCGGGCTTCACCTGGTACAACCATTGCCACTGGAAGGGCATGGCCGCCCGCAGCAGGATGGCGATGATCCGTGTGAAGTAGACGTAACAGATGACCTGCCAGGACACAGGGAGAGGGCCGAGTGTTGGGGCTCAGAGTGATGGCAGAAGGAGGAATTAGAATGGGTACGCCAATGGGCTGGTTGTACCCTCCCCCCCAGCAAAAAACAAAAACAAAACAGCCCCAAGTACTTCCCTGAGTGAGAACAGGGCTCTTACCATGATGTAGTAATGCCGAAACAGCTTCAGCTTGGCCAGGTTCACTGCCACTGAGAGGTTTGCACAGACGACGGAGGGGAAGGGGACAGGTATGGAGGAGGGACGTTCTGGGCAGTGTCCAAGGGGCAGGAAGTCTGGAGGGGCCCGTTCAGAGGACAGGTAGGAGGGGCAGCCGGTGCGGAGGGAAGGGACATCCAGGGATCATAAAGAGGGGCCTGGAAGTGGGACAGGGGCCGGGGGCACAGCAGGTCCCGGGACCAGGGCCTCACCCTTTCCATCCGTGCCAGATGCGTCCTGGAGATGCCGGATGGACCTGGAACGGGACAGGGGACCCGGACAGCTGTCAGCACAGCCTCCTGCCACGTCTGCAAGGGGCAGGGGGCAGGGGCGGGATCCTCACCAGACCACAGGGAAGAGGATGGCGCCGCAGCAGATGAGATCCACCAGGAAGAGGATCTCCTTCCAGAGCACGTAGTCACTGGCTCCTTCCTCACGGGACTCGATGACAATGTAGGCCACATTGGCCAGGACCTGCGGGGCGGGGGGGGAGGGGGCGGTGTGGGGTGGGTAGGTGTGCCCCCAAGGGTGCCTGCGTGCCTGCCCACCCGGGGCCCCAGGTGTACCTGCAGTGGAATCACGATCCCGAAGATCTTCTTCTCCTTGTCTGACAGGATGTACTTGACGAAGGCCCAGCCAGAGCCGATCAAGGCGATGGTGATGAAGAGGAGAGCGCCCTTCAGCCTGGGGAGGGTGTGGGTGGTGAGGGCGGGTGGTGCCCGGCCCTCCCCAGCCTGCCCCCCACCTGCCACAGAGAAGGGCACTCACAGGTGTGTGATGTAATGCATGACAGCGAGGCCTTCGATGGGGTGGCCCTGGCTGTTGATGAAGTAGTAGTTGATCTGGAGGTGGATGGATAGATGGACAGTCAGACAGACAGGCGGACGTGTGGGTGGACGGTGGTACAAGTGGGAGGATGGTGGTGGTTCAGGAACAGGGACAGTCACTGTGGGCATGGTGGCCACAAAGTTGACAGAACCGACGGTTATGATCAGGTTGGCAGGTGGGCCCAGAAATGGGCAGTCGTGGCCGTGACAGAGGAGGGGACCATCAGTCAGCAGGAGAGTCGGAGCTGGGCCAACGGACAGTCAGACTGAAGGGCAGAGGGTCACAGATGGACAGGACAGGCAGACAGCTGAGTTGGGTGGACAGTTGGGGGCCATGGTGATAAAAATGGCTGGATATGGGGACAGTTGGGACACATGAACTCCCAAGCCCAGGGTCTGCAGAGATTTGGGGAGTGGGCTCCACGGGCTTCTTCCTGGACCCAGAGACCCCAGCCCCACCCCCTTCTGCTCCTGGCCCAAGGCTCTCACACTGTGGAAAAGGAGGGAGATGCTCTTGGTGAAAGCCAAGACTGCCATGAGCCAGTGGATCTTGAAGACGTTGTACCTGGCAGGGGGGTCAGGGACAGAAGGGGGTGGGGGGCATCGGTCAGGGGCAGGGATGGGAGAGCGATGACGAGGGGAGGTGGGAGGACCCCCCAGGGACCAAGGCATTACATGTTCTTGCAGAGGACAGACACCCAGAAGATGCCAGCGGCCAGGAAGCAGGCAGACATGACCATGTACAGCTTGAAGAGGGGGATTTCCGCCGCTGACAGGAAGCCCTCGGGGTTCTTCTCCCGGATCATGACCTGGGGAGGGGGCAGGGTGGGTGGTGGGGATTTCATGCTAGCTCTGGACGTGCAGAGCTGTGAGGGTGCATCTCTCCCTCCCACTCTCAAGCTCCCCTTCTCTGTGCCTCAGTCTTCCCACCTCCCAGATGGGCACATCAGCTTTCGTCCCACAGCACGGCCCCAGGGAGGATGTGGTGTAGCCAGCCCGCCTCTGCTCACCGTGATGTCGAACGGCTGCTCCTGGCCCGGCTTTGAGTTGTAGCAGTTGTGGAAGTTGAGGTTGTACTGGCCTTCCTCGGCCCGAGAGCCGATCACCACGTGGAACTGGGTGGTGGGGGCAGACAGGGGGAGATGGGGGGGCTTCAGCCTGGGGATCCCCACTCTGGGGGGAGGTGGGGCCGTGGGCACTCACAGATACTCACACTGAAGTTGTAGGAATTGTTGAGATGCCCGAGACCCAGGACCAGTTCCTTGTCCTTCCCACTGAGGCCCTGAGGGAACAGAGTGCCTGCATCAGCTGGCCCCAGGCCTGGGTCTCCATATGCCCCCCGTCCCGAAGAGGAACAGACCTTCCTCCCTCCTGCCCTGGCTTCCTCGAACCTGCTGGTCCCCCTGAAACACTGTGGGTTTTGACTTGGCCTTGTCAAGCGCAATGGTGGTCCCTATAGGGGGCAAGTGAATGAGTTTAGGGATGGATGGACAGAAGGACAGCAGAAAACTGGGCGCCGGGGGGGGAGGGGGGCATCCGCGCAGCCCTGGCCATCCACCCTCCCTGCTCACACAGCCAGCCTGACTCACCACTGTTCACTTTAGGGGTGACTGTGAGCTCTGGCTTCGGGGGCCCTGGTTTGGAGGGCACTTCAGGGAGGAGCCCAGGAGAGATGAACAGCTTCTTCTGTTCCCCATACTTCCGCACCTGGACCCTGGGGTGAGGGTGGGGGCTTCAGGGGTGAGGCCAGGAGGCTGAAGGCTTGGGTCATGCACACAACGTGTGCAGAGGAACTCAATGGTCCCTTGGGCCCTCAGGATCTCCTTTCTGAGGGCCGGTGTCAGGCTGAGTCAGTGATCACACAGTTCCAGCACTGGCCATCAGCCATCAAGACGGCTGCCCCATCTGGGCGCTGCCTGCACCAGTGACTGTCCCTTCCCCTGACACTGACTTACTCATTCCACTTAAGTGCATTATTTAACATGAAAATGTATCTACAGACAGGCTACACAGTATTGTTGGACTCTGGTTCTTGGGCCTCAGTTTCCTCCTTTAGAATAGGGATGATATCAGTATAAAGAGTCGATGAATTAACACCTGTAAAAGCTCGCAGGACGCTCCCCACCAAATAGGAAGCGTTCAACAAGTATGAATGGTGGCTATCAATTCTCACAACACTCCTCTGTGTCTGTGAATTCTGCCCTGAGACCCCAACACTCCCTAGGCCCCCCTCCCCTTGCTCCCTCCTTCCCATAGTCACAAGGCTGGAAGGCAAAATTAAAAAGCAAGTGGTTTTCCTCCTAAGAGCATGAGGTTCTTTCCAGCTGGCTTCTCATTCCACCTGATAGCTTGCTTATGGGGGTATCACACCCAGGAAAAGATGAATGATAGAGCCTCTGGTCCACCAACTTACCGCAGATCCTTGGTGTTGATGAGGAAGAGAACCAGGAGATTGCTACTATTTTTCCGTAGAGGACAGTCATGGGGGTCCTGGGTCTAGGGAGTGGGTAGGAGGGCGCCTTGGTTACCGCCTCCCACTAGCCTGGCCCCACCCTGCCTCCTCCCCATCTACCTTGCAAGGGAGGGTCACTTCTTGCTCCCCTCCCTGTGAAAGAATGGGGGGGCCTTCCTCACCCCCTCCCCCACCTCCTCCTCCACTCACTGAGTAGGATCGAATGCTGCCAGATTGAGCCCGAGTCAGACTGAACCCCACCTGGCAGGTGGAAAGAAAAGGGGAAGAAATGAGGAACTGCATAGGGACCTCCCCAAGCCACCTCTCTTAGTAGCAAGAGAAATGTGACCTCAAATTGACTGAACCCTTACTGTGTGCTAAGTCCCACATTCACTCATGGAATTCCAACAACCTGTCTTGCCCCTGCCCCCTCATACTCTTAACTCCTAACCATCCCGTGCAGCTCAACTTCGATGTCGCTTCTCCGGGGTGGGGGGCGGAGGGGAGACCCTCGCTGGTCCTCTGGACCTAGCCCACCCTGTTTTCACTCAATTAAAATGTTGATGTAATAAATACAAATAAATAGATAGATAGATAAAATGTTGATGGCTTCCTGCCTTGAGCTGTGGAATCCAGCACGTGTGGACTTGCATCTAGGCACTGTGACTCTGAGCAAGCCACATACCTCTGAGCTTGTGTCAACACCTGTAAAGCTGGGTTTACAGGTGTAACGTTTTCACAGCATCCCTGAGAGGTGGCTATGAGAGAAGAGACCCATGGAAACTGCTCTGCCAGGTACCTGGGACTCAGTGGGCATTAAAAAAATGCTAGCTACTTATTCTGACTGCAGGAACTGGGGATATCTTGGCATTGGTGTGCCCTTCCTCCACCAACCCCAGCTCAGGGCCCAGCACATATTGCACGAGATTTTATTATTCCCATGTTACAGATGAGGAAACGGAGGCTCAGAAAGGCCAATGGACTTGCCCAAGATCACATGGATGAGAGGCGGAGCTACGAACTGGGGACTGGAGGAGGGTTTGGGAAACTTGTGCACCTCGCCCTCCTCCAGCAAAGTCCTCAAAGCCCCTCACCAGCGGGGCCTTCTCTTCTGTGTCCTGGAGGCCCAGTCGCAGGAAGCTCAGGTCCACCTCCAGGGAGCCATTGGCGTAGAAGCCGAAGCTGTTCAGGGGGATGTCTGCTCGCTTCTCCCCCTGCCGGAGACCAAGGAAGCAGAGGCAGCTCAGACTTCTTCCCACCAACTCAGCCCCACGGCTCTGGCGCGGGGTAGGAACAGGGAGCCCCAGCTCCTCCAGCCACTGTTCTGAGAGTCCAGGAAGAGAAAGCCTGGGGCACCTGGAAGTCTCCGCACGGGGTGAGCACCACCCCAAGAGCAGAGTTATTTATCTTGGCGTGCCGAGCCCCGACCTCCCAGACAGTTTGTAGATTCCAAGATCCCAGTGAGTGCCCAGAGGACCCCATTCTAGAAAACCAGGGACTCCCCTGGGAGGCGCCAAGGGCCCCAGCGCAGAGCGATCCCAAGAATTTAGAGGATTAAGGACGGTGGGTAGTCCCTGGAGGTGAGGTCCCACCCCCGGTGGGCCGGGCACAACCCTAGCGTGGTCGGCCAGGCAACTCCACGCGAGGTCTGTGGGGGACTCCTCGGACGAGACCACTCGGGGCCTGGAAACGGGGGGCGGCGGACGGCTCCATCCCGCGTAAGACGAGGGGGAGGTAGGACGAGACCACTCCACACCAGGGGCTTCCTAGGAAGCGAAACTGCGCTCCCCGCCCCGCTCCGCCGCGCGACGGGACTCACCGTCAGCGCCAGCCGGTGGATGCGCCCCGAGCAGCCGCCCAAGAGCAGGAGCAGCAGTAGCCGCAGCCCCCACTCCGCGGGGCTCCGACGGGCGAGCCCCCTCCTCTCGCTCACTGCCATCTCTGGAGCCGCCACCTACCCAGATACCGCCTCTGACGCACCCACCCGCCTAAGGGTGAGCCAATCGCAGCACGATGGGGGCCGACCCTCTGGCATGTCAAGCCCTCCCAGCCAATCAGCGACCGTTTCCTCGAAAAGCCGCACCACTCCCCCCACGACACCAAATGGACATCACCAGCTCCGAATGGGCTGCTGATACTGCTTAACCCGCCTCCACTCTCACCAATCACTAGAACGACTGTACTGATGTAATTTGATAAACAGTCCATCTAACCAATTCTGATGGATCTGATATCCCGCCCTTGAAGCGGAATTCCTTCACCCACGCCCAACTGAAGATCGGTCCAGGACTACATTACCCAGAATGCAGTGAAACCGGACGGCGCTACAGGGCATTCAATAAACTACATTTCCCAATATCCCCAAGGACGGACTTCCTCTTTTTACCCTGGGGATGTGGCCCCCAGCCAGAGCACAGGCTTTTGGTAAACACGCACATCTGCTGAGGCCTGCCCTGTTCTAATTTTCCTGATCCACGAAAGGCCGAAACCTAGCCCCAGGCTAAATCTTGACCCTAGGATGACCTATGACCCCGGGCTGAATTCCAGCGTTAGGCGGAGCCTGCTTTATCCTAGAGTGAGGCAGTTAGTAGCCCACCCAAAGATCCCAGGCTGGACTTGTCGACGGGCTGAACACCAACCCCAGGCTGAGTCCTTACCTGCAACTGAGCCCGGACATCAGCCTGAAATCCAGACTTCCCCACTCCCTTCTGACCCTCGACCTACGCTGAGCCTGGGCCTTAATCTCCGGTTGAGCCCCCCACCTGGACTGAGCCCTGACCCCAAACTAGGCCTGACCTCTGGACTCTAGTTTGAGTCCAAGACCTCCTAGTGGTTTGCTGACCCCTCCGCTAAACTTCCGACCCCAGTCTGAGATCTCATTCCAGATGTGGTGCCGACCTGGAGCGAGTCCAAATTCCAATTTGAGTTTGAGGCCAGTGTTGAGACTCTTAATACCAGGCTAAGCCACTGAGGTCAGAACCCATGCTGAGACCCTGACTCATCTGGTCGCCCAAGCCCTGGAGCACAGCTCACTTTGCAACTTGAGGTTTTTAGCTCAGAAGCCACCAGCAGGTGGGGCCAGGTCCCCACAGAGCCATCTGTCCCAGTATGGGCTCCTGGGGCTATCCTCCTGGGCTCCCCAGTATGTGTACCGGTTTGTGTACTGGGAGCCCGGAGGCTTAGAGCCTAACTTGTGCCTGGGGGCTCTGGGACGTCTGTCACCTCCATAGACACTAAGGACCAAAGGCAGGAGAGGATGAGGGTGGGAGCTGGAGGGTTCTCTCCCCTTTCATCTCAGTGCCTTAAAGAGATTAATGAAGTGTGAACAGACTTTTGTGAGGGAGGTGACAGACTTCCAAGCCCCAGGGCCAGAGTGTCTGGAGGGAGACGTGGAGTCGGAACCAGGGTCTACAGACAGTGAAGCCTGATTGGGTCTAAATGCATGCGACTGGAAAATGGGCAGGTGGAAGCGCGAACTGGATGAGGGCCGAGGAAAGACCTGGGCCCGGTGCCCCAAGGACGGCCCGTCCTCAGTTTCCCGGCGCAGACTTCGGCGGGGGGGGGGAAGGCAGGAAGCGGTGGGGGTGCTAATGGACCGGGCCTTGGCAGAGGCGCGTTCTGGGCAGGATCGAAGTCCTCCCATCCGCCCTGTGGCCGGAGGGAACCTGACCATTAGTGGGCCCAGCATAGATGTCTGGAGCCGGGCCGGCCCGCAAGAGCGGGGTGACCTCAGGTTCTCCCAGCGACGGGGTGGGGGGAAGGACCTCTCGGGTTGGGGTTTTAATGTCTTGTCCCTTTAAAGAATGTTTGAAAGAAAAGAGAAAAGTAAGAACAGTCCCGGGCGGGGTAGGGTTGGGGAGGATGGGGGGGGTGGGTGAAGAAGGGCCCGGGGGATTTGGAAAAATGGGTGGGGGTCCTTTAAGGCGTCGGTCCAGTGGCGGCTGGTGGCAACTTTCCTTTAAGAGGGGGCGGGGCGTCCGTTGCGCCCCGCCTCCTGGGGGGTCCCGCCTTTAGGGCGCTGTTCTGGGCCTCCGCGCAGATGGGGGCGTGGCCGGGCCTGCGGGGGCGTGGCCGAGCCTGGAGTGGGCGGGGCATGG